AGAGAGAGAGAGAGATACGCAGAGAGAGAGAGAGAGAGAGAGATACGCAGAGAGAGAGAGAGATATTGCAGAGAGAGAGAGAAAGAGAGATCAGAGAGAGAGAGAGAGAGAGAATAGAGAGAGAGAGACACAGAGAAAGAGCAGAGAGAGAGATACTAGAGAGAAACGCAGAGAGAGATGAAACAGAGACAGAATAGAGAGAAAGAGAGAGAGATACGCAGAGAGACAAAGCGAGAATAGAGAGAGATACGCAGAGAGACAAAGCGAGAATAGAGAGAGATACGCAGAGAGACAAAGCGAGAATAGAGAGAGATACGCAGAGAGACAAAGCGAGAATAGAGAGAAGAGAGAGAGACAAAAATAATAGAGAGAGAGAGAGAGAGAAACAAAGAAGAGAGAGAGAGAGAGACAAAGAGAATAGAGAGAGAGCGAGAGACAAATGAGAATAGAGAGAGAGAGAGAGAGACAAAGCGAGAATAGAGAGAGAGAGCGAGAGAGACAAAGCGAGAATAGAGAGAGAGAGCGAGAGAGACAAAGCGAGAATAGAGAGAGCGAGAGAGACTAAGCGAGAATAGAGAGAGAGAGCGAGAGACTAAGCGAGAATAGAGAGAGAGAGCGAGAGACTAAGCGAGAATAGAGAGAGAGAGCGAGAGAGACTAAGCGAGAATAGAGAGAGAGAGAGCGAGAGAGAAATAGAAAAGTATGTGAAAGAGAAAAGGCGTGATGTGCGTGAAAGAGTAGGCGAGTAGAGAGAGAGAGAAACGAAAGAAAAAGCCAGAGAGAAATGAAAGAAGACAAAGGAAATGAGATGACAAAGGACAAAAACCTTTAACGGCACCCAGTTGAAGTGATTAGTGAATAACGAAAGAACTATCAAATCAAAATTAGCGAAGAACAAGTAAAGCCATCAACGTAATCTTCACCCCCACCAACACCAGGAGGGTCTGGCAGTAGCCAACGGCACCCGGTAAAGGACAACAACGAAGACACGCAAAAGAACTCCGAACTGCACCATGTTTCGGTCAATCAGTGCAAGGTGATTATTTGCAAGTGAGGTTGGCGTTGGTTGCTGAGGTGTCAAAGTAACGGAAAAACAATGTATGTGCGTTTGTGTGTGTAGATTTAGCAGACGCCAAGGTCAGCTTAGTGACGTTTCGCTGTTGCCTTGTGTCGGGGTTGTATGATTTGGCACTTTTTTTGTTTGTCTGATGCGCAGGAAAAAAAATAAAATAAAATAAAAATAGCATAGGAAATTCAGATCTTCACAATGGCAATTTCATTTATCCCATTCTTAATGATCGGGTCGCGTTACCAAGGACTTGGTCGCTAAACGAGCCGGTCATTAAGTGAGGATTTTCTATTTCAGTCATGCTACACGTGTAATGGGTTTGTGTCAACCAGCTTCAGATAGCTTTAATGTCAGTTTTACACTAATTGTAACATTTCTAATGTATTTCTAAACAAACTTAAAAGCCGCCCTATCGAGCGGCATTTAAGCTAGCTCCTGCGGAGGGCTCTTGATTTGGTCTTCATCACAGCAGGCAGGGAGGAGTAAATGCGATAGGCAATAATAAACTACAGAAGAATTTAAAATTGATCGCCATATTGCATTGATATTTAAGCTTACTTTTTAAAAGTTCGACGATAATTCTTCTGCCCCATTTAATTTAAAGACAATTTGATATACGTAGGTCCTTAATTTCCGTACAAAACAATTTTTTTTTCGTGGGTGACTTTCGCTGGATTTCGCAATTAATTTCGATAATTCCCAAATTTATTTCCAAGTTATAAAAACTGTTATCGTACAAAAAATTCTTCGCAGAAAAACGCCGAAAACAATCGTAGTAATGAAAATTTGGGAATCTAAATTTTCAGGATTGCGGGTCCGGATCCAATCCAGAATGACTTTAATTTGCTCATGGAGTTGGCCTGATTCCAAAATTGTATGATTTGTTGGGCTATGGCCTCAAGCAGTAAAGTTGAAAGAGTGTGATACAGTGACACACTGACATTCGCATTTATTTATATAGATGTTTATACAGTAGTTGTGTATTGAACAGCAAATATAATAAACAAATTCGAAAATCAGCTCTATATTCCATACATTACTTCCGTTTGCATTTTATAAGCAACAACGAAAACACACAAGAAAGAACTTTGCATAGGACAAGTAAAGTTTTATTTATTTTTTTCATTCATTTTAAAAAAATGAGAAAAAAAAATCTGTAAAATGTACAACAACTGGTTGGGCGATATGACGATAAATTACATCTGGCAGCAAGGTTTCTGATCGAGAGGTTTTAATTGTTTTTGTTCCCAGGTCCACTCTGAGCCGGGGTGGTAGCACCTGTTAGTGTACCAGCTATGGACAATTAGTTAACCCCAAACAAAACACCATGCAAGTAATAGATTTTTATAGTAAAAATACCAGCAATATCATTATCAGGGTGTTGCTTCTTTAATAGTCTAAACATTTGGACAATTTAGTTACCTCCCATGA